ACGCTACCTTAAATTTATGGAAGGTAAACTAATTACTTTTTAAACTAAATAAGTTTGAAAATTTTCGAGTTATTAGAATATTTTGTAGATGGACGTTAAAATGTATAAAAGACTGAGTCATTTTAATGGTAGTTATTTTTAAATGGACAATTTACATATCATTTATCGGTAAGAATTGTAACGGTACGTCTTACCACACCGTTTATTTTGAAATAGACTCCCGCATTCAAACTTTTTGTCTTTGCTCATTTTTTTTATTATTCGTTTTTTGGAATTTTAAATTTTGAGTAAAACGATATGCTCTTTCTGAATGTCATTCGTTAAAATTAAGAATTTGTAAAGTGAATACTTATAAAGTTTGTTAGTGTTAAATAAGTTATATATTTAAAAAGAAACCCAGAAAAGGGGTATGTATTTGTTTAATTTAAGTATTCCATACTATTTTAGAAATCCAAACGGACTGTCTTAATATTTTTTTTTGATGTTGGAGCTTTTTATTTACCCCATAAATAATCCTAATTCTTAAGCTTCTTTCACTTACCAACCAACACCTAAACCGTCACAGAAGAAAGCTAAACAACTAGTAAGAGATAGGTCCTGAGTCGATGTGAAATATCCCAAATAAGTTTGCTATACAACTTCATAAGTGAAAATTTTAAGTGATTCAAAATATACGGTCCAACCAGAAGTCACATACGCTACCTCGAAGCTAACCAAAACTATATGCAGATCTCTGATTCCTGAGTTGAACAAAATAAAAATCGGTATGGTTAGACAAGTATAATTAGGAAATGCAAGCGAAAGAGTTATTAGTTTCACATAACATTGAAGTGACCTTGTGATATTTGCAGATACCCTAAATGATAACGTGAAATAGCAAGAAAATACCAATGCGAATGTGATCCCTTATACACAAACGAATTCAACAATAAATATCATCAGTACACAAGAGATAAAATCTAAAAGCTAGCACATCATAGTTTTCCTGGACGCTAACAAGCTCTAGGAGATATTGTATGTAACTCTGGTGGTAAGTCTATACTTATTTATTACTTGTTCTGTGGGACATTTGCATTCTAAGAGATCATCCGACTGCACTGAGAATCTTGTTTAGTTAAGCCCAAATTGTTTCTTTCATTTTTTGTTCGATTGTGGCAGTCGTGTTTTTTAATTCATAAATTATTTAGTTTTATTTGTTCCTTTTAGTGTGCAATTACTTATCTATACAAGTTATATATTTTTGGCATGTACTCTTCAAGACTTTTAATTTGCTAAAATTAAAGAAAGACTGCTGTAATTTTTTTTAATGGCGTTATACATCCGCCATATTATATTTTTTTATAAATATATAGTCGACGTTACTGGGGATCATGTAATGTTTTTAATAATATCCTATGTTGGTTATTGTTGCTTTGTAGGTGTGCTTTAATAATTTTATAAATTTTAATTACGCGTTTCCTACAACTTCCTTTTTATTATATGTACACATCTTGTGTCAAGTTTTTTGTAACCCTTATTCGTCGTGACTATTATATGGACTCCTATGTTCTTATGAAGCCTAAGTTATTAGAAATGTATTGTTTAAAGATTATGCTATTTAGTGAAGAAGAGACTTCTACCGCTAATGAACTGCTAACTATTTGCAGCATCAATTAGCAACCAGAGTGAGTGCATATTTCCATCCCGTTTTTAAATGTCTTTGTTTTTCTTCCCCTTTTAATAGCCTAAAGGCAACTACTTCTTATCTCATTGCAGTTATAATATATTAGTTGTTTTCCTATGTATTAAATATTTTCTATTTTTTGACACGCCAAAATTAAGTTAAAACAAACAGTCCATTAAGTTTATTTTACCATCTACTACGAAATACATTTTTTATTCTATTTCACACCAACCTATACATGCATATCCATTTAGTCTTCCAAATTATAGTAAAATAAAGAAATTTACAATACCTACTTACACGAACTCCTTTTTTGGGCAGTTGTGTAATAAAAATTTAATAATGAAGTGTGGGTAAATATTTTTTAAATATGAAAACGACTTATTCAGTTTTCATCAGCATACTATGTCAAGGCAGCCCTGACATCAGCTTAACCTGATTAGCTCTATAAATAAGGGCAGCAGGAATTTCAGTGTTACCGCATTATTCCCGTGCCCGCCACTAATAACTGCAACAAGTTACGCATTTTCACAAAGCGCAAAGAACGTCTGGGAAATAAGAAACCTCAAGATTTATAACGGTCGTCCGTATTTTCTACTTATTGACGTACGGTTTCAGGAAAACATAGAAATGTACCGGCAATTTCTTGGCGACGACGACATGTAAGTTCAATTCCATGTTTGGTAAAAAGAAAATTTAATTTTGTATAGGTTTGTTTGCCAGTGTTAATACCAGCGTTTTCAATAAACATTCTAATCATCCTTTGAGTTCTACTTGGATTTTCGGCTTAGTCGAAAGTCTCATTAGTAAATTTCTTAAACGTCGTTAACTCCAAATGGCATTACCGATTTAATCCGGTCATTAGAATAGTAAAGTATAAACTAAGTTCTCCTTAATTTTAAGAAAGCTGTTAAGAATTGATGATAATTTAAGCGACAGATTTAACAACTGCCTTCGAACATTAAATTTTGTTTAAACATTCAAGTTACAGATTTTAAGTATATTTCGGTTGTTTCAGAAGTTTTGTTTTCTAGAAGGAGACAATAAACAGCTTTTTTTTTTTATAAATAGCAGGTTTTACAGCGAATGTCATCAAGAATTTCGAAAATATAATTATGCATTGGCAACATCTTGTTATAGTTGTCGTATTGAGAAAGAGTGGGTATTACATATACTTTAGTGGAAAACTAGCTTTTCGCCGGCGGCTTCACCCGCGTGGTCCTGTATTATGCAAATAAACCTTGCTCTGGAATCACTCTGTATATTGATGAAACTGCATTAAAATCCGTTGTGTGGTTTAAAAGATCTCAGCGCATAGATAGCGGGAAGCAACTTTGTTTTATACAATGATTATGACATTAGAGTTATTAATTGTAGTATAATTCCAATACGGTATTTTATAACTGTGATCATAATATCTGAACTATCATAAATGTTTCGAGGTAACTCCACAAATGCTGTTGTTTCCCCGATGCGAAAACAATGGGGACATTATACTCTGTTCTTCGGAAAGAAAATAAAATGCCCGTAAGCCTCAACCGAGCAAATTCCTTTAGGAACTCTCAAAAATAAAAGAGAGAAAGAACGGCAACTAGTGAACTCTGACAGTTTATTATTTCCAACTCCTACTAGTTAATAATTACCTGGCTACATTTCTATCTTTTTTTATCTCTATCCATTGTGCTCTTGTTTAGTCTTTATTTCTTCCTATTTCGTAATTGTTTTGTTGTATATGTATTAGAAAATAAAATACGGTACATACTTTTGCTAGAGAAAATAATATTATTCCAGTTATAGAAATTATTCCAGTTATTATGATTGCCTAAATATATCGTCGTGCGGTAGTCATATAAAGAAGGTATATGTATATTATATGTCTCCGTAAATTGTAACTTATATTCTTTAGTAAAAGTAATAAGTCTGTAGACAGTGGAGCGGATTATCAATAGGTGAAAACAGTGTTCTGATATTCAACTTATTTCTAAAGTTATAAGGAAATTTAATTCAAAATGGTACATAACCGGTCATCAACTATGATAACTACGACAACTCGCAACAGGCCCGCTGCTCTTGAGTCATCGCTGTCTTCGCAACGAACACAGAGCCGAGCAAGAGCCATCGACGGTGGTCGCTTCGTGCTGCGTTTAAACGTTTCGATTTACTGGAACATTATGCCGTGCTTTGCTTGAGCGTAGTAATTGACAAGTTGCTTAGTAAGTTATCCCTGAATTTCGATTGAGAATTGTTTTTAAGTTTGAATTATAATACACATTGAAAAAGATTTTGATTTGTAATATATTACATATTATGGTATCTAAAATGAAATTTTGCACTGAATACCAGAAAAAAAAATACAAGATAGACATTTTAAAGAATACTTGATATAGAATTTGTCAAAATTTTTATGTTATGGCGCGTTAGTCTTTGTGGATGTGCGTAAAATGTATGAAGAGCAACAGGCATCCAAATTAACCGCAACGACTACACCAATTATGAAACCTGAAAGAAAAATATTGATCAAGTATCAGGGCTCAATCTCAACATAAATACCGAATCTGAAATCAAAAACACTTAAACGGCTATGATTAATAATAAGATGGTCAAAAATCTTTAAATAACTAGTAACCGGATGTCTCGTCATCGCCTAAAAGTAAAATTATTCAAAAAGAACCGTTGATTGCGAGAAGCATGGTAAATGTTTCTGATCTTCATATTGTATCATCATAAAGATAAAAAATCTAATTACAGAAATAAATGATACAATTACCACGTCCTTACCCAATATTGAATAAACGGATTCACTAACGGATTCAGGCTGTGAAATAGCAAGCGGTGTCTTATCTTCAAAATTAGTCAGTTAAATGAAAAAAATATTACTTTTAATGTGGGTACTATACTCAGAAGTCAGTAAAATTTAAAACTTTATGAAATCTTTTCTCACTATTATAGCACTCACTCAAATGAGCTTTTAACATCAGTTTTCTAAGAAGCTGATTTTTCAATCTGAGAAGTGATGTACATCAAAGAAATACTCTTCACACAGGATTCTAAGAACAGAACTCATTTCAGTGTATTGAATATCGACTGTGAAATGAAATTATAGCGTTTCTCTCAAAAGGATTTGAAACCTCATCAGAACCTATTTATTTCAACATAGTGCCAGGAACTTCGTGAGATATTAAATGGTGCTTATGCCCTTGTCAAAGTGAGATATTGCTATAGCTACAATTGGTTCTCGTTAAAAAGATAACCCAGTTCCAGATCATGTAAGCTTTTACGGTAAGATTTACGGTATCGAATTAATATTTAGTAAAATATACTTTAATTTTGAAAGTAATTTTGGTGAGGTTTAAGTTTCTGATACATTGTAGGCTACAGTTGCAGTATTTTTTGGCGTAACAGTATAACATTAAATTAAAACACTACAAAGTGACATTAAAAACTTGTTTATATCCAACTAGCACTTTTTCTGCGACTTTTAAAATCGGTCGAGTAGTTTTGGAACCTATTTAATGCAAACAAATAATAAAATATTTCCTCTTCATAATACTAGTGTCGATAAAAACAATTAAAAAAGTATTAAAGCGACTTCAAAAAATCGTAATAAAGAGAAACGACTGAAAAGAGAGGAATGATACCATACATTTTATTTTCAATAAAATCGAAACACATAAAGTGGAAAGACCAACAATTTTTTTTTGAGGTCGGTGGCAGCCGTGTCCATTATTAATAAGATACTTCTTTCCTACATACCTATCAGAAAAAAAAAATCTCTTACCACATATGATGGTTTTCTTAAAATAATCTAGCAACAATATTTTTTTGTTTCGATTTTATTGAAGATAAAAATTTGTGGTATTATTTATCTCTTCAATTTATTACAATCTATTTGAATTCGGTTTAATTTTTTTGAATGTTTTTTATTTTTTCTTATTTTATTAATAACAGATGTTTTTTTTTCCATTTATTAGAGTAAACAAACAGTGACAATTTGTAATATAGTTAAAAATAAAAATATATAATCAATTTTAAATTCGCCACCAACACCGTTTACTACATTAACAATATTTTAATTACTCGGTTTTTGGATTTATTTTTAGAACTCTTGTAAGAATACAGATTTTAAATTCCAAACTATTACAAAATATTACTAATATAGACTACTTATGTGTTTAAGGGAGTATTTCAAGCAACATTTTCTTAAATACACGAGGACTCACCGCCAAAATATCTATAGAATTAAATGATATGTTAAATTTATTAACCATACGGTAAAGTGGTGAGCGCTTACCGGCATTTGTTCGGCATCAGGCAGTTGCAAATAATTTACATTGATTTCTACAGTGAGTTCTGGTTGGTATTCTGTAACTTAGTTTATTTATTATAAAGATACAGTCTTATTTGTTATGACATAGATCGTAAAGCATTTTCATTTGAAGTAAAGTACGTCTTTGACTTAGATCGATTATATTATATTTTTTAGATAGCTGGTCGTAGGACAAATAACAATGTATCTGTAATGCATAACATATATAACATCTGTAATGCATAACCTGTAACAACTTCTTTTGGACATTTTCAAGTGTTTCTATGTATTTGTTATAAAAAGGATTCCAGATGGGTACCGCATATTCTAGCTGTGATCTAAATTGGGACCTGTACAGTGCAAGGTAAGTAGAGGTTTGCTTAAATGAGGTACTAATGTGCATCACAAAATTGTATATCTTGAGGGATCTGCTAACAATATCATTAATATGTTGTTCAACTTATTATCAAACTTTTTGGAGTATTGTACCATTAAAATGGTACTTGCTGTTATATATTTTTTTCTTTTTTGTGAAAGTAATGACTTTACATTGATTAGTATTTAGTTTTAGCTTATTTTCGTGACTATACTTAGAGAATCTATTGAGATCGGACTGAAACTTGTCTTGATCACCGATCCGTATTATTACTTCTAACTAATAATAATAAATGGACACCTTCGTCTGTATTTAATCATACTTTTTTTCTGTGATGGTAGCAGTTCTTACTTAACCTAATCCACTATTCTTGGAGCAAGACGTTTTTACACTAGTATTTTGGTAACAGACCATATCTAAAATCATTTAGTAAGTTTTCTTTTATATTTGAAAATAGTTAATTAAACAAAAAGTGTCATTTCAATCCAATGTCTAATTTAAGAGAAATACATTGTTAAACATATAGACATACATACATAATATACACCTTCAAAATGGAGCACGAGTGTTTAGAAGCGCATATAGACTAACATATACGAGGGTCAAACTGAAAGTTCTTAGAAAATCAAAAACTGATTACATTAGCCAGTTATTAGTTTTATTATATCTTTTCAAAATATTGTCCATTCACGTCAATACACCGCTGCATGCGATGGAACCACTGGGAAAAGCACTTTGCCCACTCGTCCTTAGGGGTCTCTTCAATGGCATCGCGATACGCAGCCACCGCTTCTTCAGCATTCATAAACCGCTTTCCTTTAAGTTTTTCTTTAATTTTTGGAAATAAATAAAAATCACAAGGCGCGAGGTCGGGGCTATACGGCGGGTGACCCAGTAATTCAACGTTTGATGTCGCCAAATAGTCGATCGTTCGCTTGGCGGTGTGCGACGAGGCGTTGTCGTGGTGAAGGAGGATCCTACTGCGAGGTCGTTTCTCTCGAACTTTTTCCAAGACAAGTGGCAAACAATTGGTAGTGTACCATTCTGCAGAAACTGTTTTTTGATCCTCTAACACAATTGTTGCAAAATGACCTATCCTTCCAAAGAACGAGGCCACCATTTTTCTTCCCGCACTTCGATCTCTCTTCACTTTAGTTGGCAACTCCTCGAAAGGAAACACCCACTGAGCAGATTGTCTTTTGGTTTTAGGATCATAACAGTAAATCCAGCTTTCGTCACCTGTTAGTATGTCGAACACAGCATTTGAGTCACCTCCGTTAAATCTTTCAATCATTTTACGACACCAATCCACACGATGGAGTTTTTGAGCCTCAGTCAAATTATGAGGTATCCACCGGGCGCAAAGCTTCCTGACCGCTAAATGTTCGTGGAGGATTTTGTGCACTTGACTCATACCGATGCCTAAGCTTGTCCGAATCTGTTGATAGGTCACTCTTTTGTCAGTCTCTATCATACGCCGCACAACACAGATGTTATCTTCAGTCGTCGCCGTAGAAGGCCGTCCCTCACGTAAATCATCAGTGAGATTAGTGCGACCACGTTTAAACTCATTAAACCAGTTGTAAACAGTCGCACGAGATGGGGCTTCATCGTGAAAGGCCAATCGTAGTCTATCATAACTTTCTTGTTGACTTAAATGACATCGAAAGTTATAAAAAATCATTGCACGAAAATTTTCTCGTGTTAAATTCATGATGACGTGACACAGACAATTTTCAATTTGCCGCCAAATCGTAAAACAAATGACAAATGAATGAAATATATACTCAGTAATATTGGCAAAGAGTTATATTTTCAAATTTTAGAATTATTTTTTTATTATATTGTTTATAAGTGGCCAGTTCTAAGAACTTTCAGTTTGACCCTCGTATATAGGTAAATATTGCGTCATACTCCAATAAAATTTCATAGATACAGATCAAATTGATGCCCTTCTTTTTGGAAATCGGTTAGAAAGGGCCGCTATTAGTGGTTAACTTTTAAAATTTGAAATAATGATGATTTTTTCGTGTATATAAAGAAAGGATCTCAGGAACCATGCCGCCTACAAGCTTATAAGACAGTTGCAATATGCAACGACATTGAGCGGCACAATTATTATCTTACCCGACTTCGTGAAGCACGCAAATTGAAATTTAACTAGACAGTAACAATGTTGAATATTAGCTACGTGGTTTCTCTTGAAAGCAGTTTGTAATGTAGAAGAGGAATTTTGAAATTCCATTTAACTTCCTTATCGTTGTACTGACTTACTTATTATCATCTAATAAGTTTTCGCTTCTTATAAAAGGTCGTTTTATTATTAATATTTTGTAAATTATTGATGCCTACTTCGATATGTAATTTATATGTATTTGTAGTGCATTATAACTTATGAATTATATAAAAATTGTCATTTTAAGCCAGTGTGAGGATGTCTCTACAATTTGAGAATTAAAAAGTTAGGTATATTCGCAATATTAACTTTGATGTCAGTATTTTATTATTGGCGACATTATAATGTAACGAGGATGGTTTGAATTTCACTGTCGCAGCAAACGTTAATAGATTATTTATTCGATTTGGCTTCAGTAAAATGAAGGTGTTTTGACATTTTTTCAAATAATTTGACATTGCATGTACGGAAAATGAAATCGCTATTTAAGTTTATCTGAAATTTAGATATTTAAATTAGACTGTTATAGGTATTTGAATATTTGTACGTTGATTAAGTCGGCAGAATGTCTATGTTTTCTTTGAAAAATAACATCATGTTGTGGGTTGAATGAAGAACAAAATAGGATGAATAAGGAAAAAATAATGGGATGAGACGTCATAGGATAAATACGGAACGACCCCATATTTGTGACCATTTTCTTGCAAATAAACGTTTCATTTCAAAATAAATAAGAGTCCAAATCTCCCACAAATAGTTTTCTAAAAAAAAAACAAAATGCAAACTCTTTTTTCGTGAAAATACAGAAGGTTTTTTTCATGTCACATCACTAATTTCAACTCATCTAAAATTAAACAAGTGTTAAAGCCATTCGACTGTTCTATCTTGCTAATGAGGGTGTCTTTCTGCAAAGGGTCACAGAAGTTGTGTTTCCTTCAAAATTGCAGTGTCTACTTTGTTGACAAAACTTAAGAGTGAAACTCAAAAGACAAGCGTTACGTTTGATATGTTGTTTATATTACCAAATGGCTTGTTTGCAGTCCTCGACGCACGACCAAACCAAATTATCCCTGCGCCTCTGACAGTCTCCCCAATGTTAATTGTACGCTCAAATAATCATTATGGGGAGGGACTGTATTTACACTATAGATTCGAAAACATGCTACACATATTTGATGTTTGTACAAAACGGGTGTACTTTTTGAAGTCGTTTTTTTTCTCATTTCAAACTCTGGCTGTATTGAATTAATCAGTTTTTTTTTAATTTTCTGATCGATTGATTCCGAAGTTTTTATTCTAATCGAATCTGATTGAATTTAATTTAAATCCTAAAGAATTATTTTAAAACATAAAAATAATGATTACAAATCCAATTTTCATAAAAGGTAGTTTGTTGGTGCAGTGAAATCAGCACTGCGCCGATTAAAATATTAGGGTAGTCTTGTGGGTGTTGTTTAGGCCTTAGTCCATTTATCTAACACTTTACCGACTTCACATACAAATCTACCACTTTTAAAGAAATAAAAACAATATTTTGTAAATTTCACAAGATTTTTCAGTTTTCTTCGTTCGCCCAACAAGGCGTTTGTGGTTGCAAAACTTTATTATGGATAAAAGTCATTGTAAAATGTTATAGATGCGTAACTTTATAATTTCAATATCAACTTTTAAATATCCCTACTGCTGAAAGATATCTGCTTCGCTAAGGATATTAATGACCATAGTTGCACTTAGGAACCTCGAACGAAGCAAATAGGAACGACTTAATCGATTCTCAGTCACCCATATTTCCAAAAGTTTCTTAAACATTACAATCGGAGACTACTAAAACTTGTCCATAAAACCTTTGTAGTTTATAATATAACATTTTTCAAATAAAATTTATGAAACATTAGCAATGTTATGTGAATCAACCGTCAAATAACATCGACTGCTGAAACAACATCTTTCAAAGGCATTCGATAACCCTGTTTGCTGAGTGTTATTAGTGTAAATACTCGAGTTGAAGCTGAACCGTGTGGGGTTGTGAAATATAGACATTACGAGAACTAATTATGTAACGAAATGAGAGCATCTAATTGCATTTAAAAATATATTGTACCGATTAAGCTAATATGTAGTAATAACATAGTTGAAAATAAAGTTGCTTCCCATTATCTTGTGCTGAGATCTTTGAAACTACACAACGGATTTGAGTGCAGTTTTTATCAATATATAGAATGATTTAAGAGGATAGTGATACATATAAACACAGAATCGCATGAGCTTAAATAATTTTGTTATAAAAACGAAATTGCTGATCCGATTTCTCGTTATTTTTCTAAGGGCCCTCTAGACTTTAATCTTTCGGATTAAATTTTTGAAATTTAAGAGAGCATAGTTTATTAATGAACCGCCTCCTTATGTACAATACGTACCTATGTTTGATCTTTTATGTATTTGATCTGAATAGCTTAAATTTATTTCTGTGGCGTTGATGATTAATTGTCAAAACAAATCAACAAAAAACTTAAAATTTTTATTTAATATAGTAAAATAAATTACTTTCAGACAGATATTGAATTAAATCAATCGTCTTTCATCGATTCAGTCGATGTTATTGCAACGCCGGTCTATTTATTTTCTACTGCTGTTTTCATCTACCATGTCATGAACGAAGATTACCAGGCATAGAACGTATTCTAATTACTTTAATTGACAAAAGCAAGGTCCTCAGAAACCCTATAAAAATAACGAGAAATCGGATCAGCAGTTTCGTTTCTATAATCTATGATAATAACTTAAATGTAAAATGTTATGCTATAACTATAAAACTATGGTATATTCATTAATAAAAAGAAAATAATCTTTATAACTTTAAAGAATCAGATATTGTAATTACCATTCCTATTGTTTATATGTCAAAACTATAAAACTTTTATGACGTCTTCAGAATAATTCCGATGACAAAACTTATATTAAAATTTCCTATGACGTCATCAGCATTCAATTACAGCGTCAAAACTGACAGACGCATTTATGAAAGATGCTGCTGCAGTGGACGTATGAGACCGGGAAATCCGTCGACCACCCTAAGGGTCTAACACTATGTTTTTGTTATTATAACTGTCACTTTAAATGGCCTGAACTTTTATTTTCAAAGTGCATTCTTAAAATTGAAATTTGAACCAACAAACACTATCTTTTAATTCTAATGGGTTTAATGCTAATATAAAAATTTTGTTCCTTTTTTTTTTATCAGATATAACTTGGAATACTACAGTGTATCGTTATTTAAAAATAAGACAATATTCTCCCAACAATTTTTTTTCTATCCATAATTAGACTACGAATTTGGCAAAACTACGGACAAAATATGTTTATTTTACCGTGAAAGAATGACAAGATGCGGT